AAAGTTACTTGCACACTATCCCAAATCCTTATGCACGTTTGGCCATTTAAGTGTAAGCTCACCTGCCACGTCAAGGCAAAACCTCCTAGATGAGTCCTACACTAACAGTTCACCTTGTTGTTTTCAGCAACAAGTAAAATATCTAAGGGGTGATTTTTTCATTTTTTTAAAATTATTTCTATTTGGTTGCTAAACAAGATGCAATCACCATGGGAACCAATAGAACGTCTCTCAACATCTAGCACTTTACACTTAAAATAGTATATATTTTGCCTTGATAAATCTCTCCCATCGTTTAAGTCTTAGTTAACACTAAATATTGGTGTTTGTTTAATTTAGTTGATTGTATTAAACATACGGGTGTCTAATAATGATCTGCGTATGGTGATATCCTAAGGATTAATTCATGGGGTTATTGAACTCTTGGTTATGCTGTTACCAATATAAGGATATATCATTATGTGGATGATTATGTCTACAACAATGAATGTATAAAGGTTTATCTTTATCTTATATTTATATTATGCGTTATGTCTTGATTTTTACTATTATTTTGTTGAAAAATAGAAAATGTAAAGTTGTGGCCTTCTCTTACCCACATGAATTAGATGTTTTGGGGTTAATTTGAATGGGTGAGAGGATACTTTTAGGAGTGGTCGTTTCCCTAGAAGTTCCACGTGTGAGAAATCCCTAATTAAAGCATTGAAATGACTTTATAATCTCTTCTGTACTTTTATCTGATTCCTCCATCTGATAACATACCTTGACGTGGTTCAAGTTACCTTCAGCCTCTCCACTATTACAATACAGCTAACTCATAGATATTTTTATGTAGCATATGTTGTTTTGGCATAGAATTCATTTATTCGCTTTTAACTATTTTTAAAGAGAACACAGTCTTTTATTCATAATTTATTTTCACCATATTTGTTCCTCCAGAAGGATTCTGTCTTTATTTAGTATAGTGACCATTTATTAGAGCTCTGTGCTTACAGAAAAACAATTGTTCCATTTAGAGGTATTACAGGATTCTAAGGTCAGGTCATTAATTTCCCAGACCTGTCTTTAGTCCTTGCTAGTCTTTGCCATTTAGTCTACTTTGCATTAAAGTCTCTTTTTAAAAGTTTGTGCATGACTTAAAAGTGGTCTAAATCAGAGGTGTAACTAGAAACTCCAGGACCAGGGTGCAAGAATCAATTAATCCCCCCATCTCCACCCCAAAAGGTATTATTTTGATACAACTATTTTGTGGGCTTGGTTTTACACTTTAAATATGTTAGCATATCTATTTATAAACTTTGCCTAAATTAGTCAGGTAAGGAATATTAACAAAAGTACCAACTTGAGTTAGATGGCAAGATCTTGGGGGTCATTGTCTGCAGCCAATGCATAAAGAGACCAGGACAAGCACAGAATGGTCCAAAGAGCTTGCAATATAACTCAAGTTTGCCTTTCTATTTATAATATTTTCCTAATTTATTACAGTAAAGATTGTGAACTAAAAATACTAACTTAAGTTACATTGCAAGCTCTTGGGGACATTCTCTGTAGCCTTTGCATATAGAGACCAGAATAAACAAGGAATGGCCCTAAGAGCTTGCAATCTATATCTCCATATTCTTCCATTACCACTTTCCGTATCTCTCTCTCCATATTCTGCACCTCCACTTTCTATCCCTCTTTCCATATTTTACTGTACTTACTCTCTGTCCCATCCACATTTATTCCTGCCATCTTCAAATTTCTTCCCCCTGCCACTTTATGTCCTTCTCACTATATTCTTTTCTTGTCTATCCCTTCCCTTATAGCACTTTTATTTAACCCCGTACCTTCTCTTTTATAGCATGCCAGAGACTGTCCTACAAGACGATATATGCATGATCAGGAGTTTAGCACCAGGAGCTGTTATGAAGAGGCACGGATGGAACATTAAAGGAGCACTAGAGTGCCAGGAAAACAAACTTGTTTTCCTGGCACTGTAGGGTTATTAGGTCCCCCCCTCCCTCAGGGCCACTTACCTTAATCCAGCGTTGGGCACACTGCAGTTGTCAGCCCCCTGGTGGAGCCGAATGCATATGCACGGCCAGAGCCGCGCGCGCATTCAAACCGCTCATAGGAAAGCATCACTTAATGCTTTCCTATGGACGTCCAGCGTCCTCTCAGTGTGATTTTCACACCGAGAATCGCAGAAGCGGCCTCAAGTGGCTATCATTGAGACAGCCACTAGAGGCTGCTGGATTAACCCTCAATGTAAACATAGCAGTTTCTCTGAAACTGCTATGTTTACAGCTGCAGGGTTAAAACTAGGGGGACCCGGCAGCCAGACCACTTCATTGAACTGAAGTGGTCTGGGTGCCTATAGTGGTCCTTTAAGCCATATTCCCGAACTTTCTCACAGCACTTGCACTGAAGCATCCTGAGGGGAGGCATGCAGCAGGAGCAGCAGTGTACATTCTTCAGAGTGAGTTTTCAGATTCCCCCAAGGTAACTGAGCTGCTCTTGTCTTTGGGCCCCCTGACAGATAGAACTCCAGGAACTTGTGACACTTGCAACCTTTGCGACCCTGGTAGTTCTACCAAAAATCCTCAGGAAAGCCTTAAAAAAGAAACAAATATTCTCACAGCACACATATCTCCTTCCAGAATCCCTAGATTAGAGAGAAATGTCTAAAATCCAAAAAGGTTTATCTGAAAACAGCATGCAAAAGCTGCAAATCTTGTGTCTGCAGCCTTTGCAAGCCCTCCCTTTCTTATTCAGCCCAGATTTTCTGTGGCTGTCCAATCTCAGACTTCCCAATGCAGCTCAATAGAACTCTGGGCAAGGCAGGTCAGTGCTCTGGGTAATTGCTGCCTCTTGAGTTTAGCTTAACTGAACTAAATAACCAGAAAGTCACAGAATTGGCTGTCTAAATGACAGCCACAAGGTGTAACAAGGTTAAGAGTTTCAATTTCTATTTAACTTTGCATTTTTTTGTAAAATAAATAAAAGTGCTTTAGGTGTTTGGAATGTTCCTTTTAGCAATATAAATGTTAATGAAAACATTACCATTCAAACTTTTGTTGTCCATTCAAATAAGTATTTCTATATGTGCCGCTAACATATCAATAGTCATAATTGCTTTTATTTATTCTATTCCTAATTTTGTCTAAACACAAGGAAAATAAAGCACTTGGTGTAGGTGATCACCTGGGTTAAAAAGTAATATTCCTGTTTGTGACGGACCGCCTCGCACCCCGACCGGGTACCTCTGTCAATCGCTCCTTCCTAGTACTTGCGAGAACCATAAGCACTGAAAACCCCACAAACCGCCGCAGCTTGGTTGGGGTCTCGCTGTCCTCAACCCACCCTGGTTCCAAGACCAGGATCCAGCTTCCAGTGGGTAGACCTCTCCTAGTCCAGAGAGCGAAGCAGGCTACTCTAACAAGAGCAAGTGTTGTGATCCAAGGGAGTATAGGGATTAAAGCAATCCCCAGAGTGAATATAGCTCTCCAATCCCCCAAACATGAGCCTAGACTTCATGAAGGGTAAAACAAATCACAGTCTAATGGTAGCCATAACTGGCCTTTTATGACAGTCCCCATGCAAGGGGCACTCCCCCCTGGACCTGAGCGTAAACCACAGTAGCAATAAATACACAATCACATTGGCTCTCAGGTCCAGGACACTCCCATACAAAATCAGATAATCCCTCCTCTGTGGAAAAAAATAGAGAACAATTATTTGGGATACGGCTGAATAAATCTACAAAGGGACATAAAATTAAATATAGTGTAAAACAGTAAGTACACAGAATTGTGCGCCAAACATGAATGCACTCACTAGATGGAAATGAATAAAAGCGCTCTTAAGGTGCCTCCCCCATAATTGTGGGGGACTGAGGATTCCTCTCTCCACCTCCAAGCGGTAGATCCAACACAGGACTTCAACAGATGAGGGTTAAAAAAACAGTAGATTTATTTATTAAAAAAGTGAGCAGTCACCGTAAAGCATAGGATAAAAAAAGCAGCAACAGGTCCTACGCGTTTCGTTCTAGACGAACTTCCTCAGGGGCCGCAAATATTAAAACAATTTATAATGTAAACAACATGTAAAACAAACATATCCTATTAAACACCCTCCCAAAGTCCCTTTAAATAGGGCTAATCCCTAAATCCATTGGTGGATCCAGTGGGTGTTGTCATCCTCTTCTGTTTTTATTGGTGTAATGATTCACTCTCACCAGGTACTCGCTGTTCTCAGTGCCTGGGAGATAATCGGATCAGGAACTGTACTAATCTAATCCAACTATCTCCATGTACAGAAAAAACAAACTTTTTCCCAAACACTCCAAACATACCCTAAAAATAAATAAAACCCCCACAAAAGGGTGACCAACATATCCAAAAATCACCCAGATCAGTTCAGGGGTTCAGTAATTTTATGGAAGACTGCCCGCATGGTCCCATGCCCAAAACAGTTCCAGAGATTAAGCGCTTGCGGTCAGTCTAGTTTGCTAGTTTAAAAATGAGCAAACTACCAAACATAGTAAATAGTCTTACCCTGGAGCTTGATCCCCTTGTTTGTGGGAACGTTTCCACCGAACAGCGCTTTTTTCGAATGCAGGTGATGCTGGAAGTCCAGCGGTGTTCGGGAGTTTCTGTGTTCGTTTTCAGTTCCATCAGATTCATGCCCAAACACCACTGCCTGCGTTTATCTGAACAAGATGGCCGCCACCTTGTGGTCATCCATAGGAATTGTGGCCACCCAGATGAAGACTTAGAACACCACGGTGGAAATTGCTACAAAGTAGCAATTAGGCTTAACAAGCTACAGGGTGGTCTCCGGCTCGTGTGGCTGTTCGGTTACCAAACCAAATATAAAATCCCATGAACCAAGTCTGTTCACATAGTTTTTTTAAAGGACCCATAGTCTTATGGTAAGAGGCTGGCCAGCAGGCCCCTCCAAGAACACGTGACAAGGCTCAGTTCGTCACACTGTTGTTATTGCATCTCGTACAACTTTTTTTTTAATTCTTTATTTTTGTAGTGCATAAGCTTATAACAGATGGTTGTGAGGTACCCCAAAGGCAATCCTCCACCGCATTGTAGACATTAGAACATTAAGGTACAAGATAGGTCTAGTACATTTTTTGTGAACAGATAGTTTAAGTAGTAAACAGTAGAGGGTTTAACAGCTAACTCTGATTCATAACTGAAGGTAACATCGCTGGTATATCTAGTCAGCTAATTTTTGAGCATCATAGAGTAACATTCAATCTACAAGATATAGGCTTAGTCTAGCTTTTATACAAAAGTGGTTTACAAATGGTTGATATAGGCTAGCAGCAGGTTTAACCCCTGGTGTGCCGCTGGTTGCATAGTGTGATTGTAGGCATAGGTCGGCAACCAAACATTTTTAAGGAAAGAGGAATAAGACCTTAGTGGTACATAAAATGATGAGGCAATGCTAATGTGCTTAGATGCTTAACTCGCAAAGCTGTGAGGCGATTGTGTCTCGTTGTAGGCGGATATGAGGGAAGCTAAGTCAATACGCTGGCCCTCAATACGCATATCAGCAAGGGTTATAAAAGGTATGAATATAAAGTAAAAATGTAAAATAATAGTATGCACTTGTAAAAACGTTTGAGTCTGTTGATGGTGCCCTTGGGATTACTTGCCAGGGGTGGGAGAGTCCTCTGCATATCTATAGGGTCAGCCAATTCCCCGTTGGGGCCAGGCTGTGGTCTGCCATGAGAGTCTCACTCCCTTCCTTGTGCCCTTGTGCTGCCAGTCCCAGATTCTTGTATGTTGCTGCATCATGGCTGCCGTCGGGCAGCAGAGTTGTTGTCCCGGGTGTTGTCCCCTGATTTCACTTTGTGCTTGTGGTTGGCTCTGTAGCTTGTGTCCCCTCCACTGGGATGATTTGGGAGCGTGGGGTTGGTCTGCACTGGGTCGGCATGTGGTGGGGTTGCGATGGGGTTGGTGAGTGGGTTTGCGTTGGTGCCTTGCCCATGTGAGTGTGCTGGTTCTCTCGCTGGGAGTTGGGTGGCGGTGGTCGCTTTGCAAGGGCAGGAGGCTGTGGTGGGGCATGGGTGTACAGCTAACCCTCCAGTTTCCTCCAGAATGCCACAAAGTGGTTGTGGATTCGTATGAGGATATCTTGTGATGCGTCCATCTGAGTGTCGGTTCTTGCTGCGTCCGCCATTTTAGGTAGGTCTCCTCTTTCCCGCCTTGGCGCCTCTCTGCTTCTTCATGTGCACGGGGTCACCACCCCTGGGTGGACCGGGATTACCCCCGCCGGTCCGGGGGGGGGGGATAGCAGGGCTGTCTTGTGTTGTGGGCAGCTTCAGTATGCCTCCAGACCGGTGGGAGCGGCCGCCTCCCCCACCTGTCGCGCACCAGGCCGCAATGTCAGTCGCGGTTCCATCTGGCCCCATGCGGGTCACCTGACGCCCTCTTGTGTGCCCCCTGTTGTGGGTGGCAGGAGGGTATCTGGGGTTGCCGCTTGTGTTGCTCCTTAAGGTCTTTAAAGTTTATACATACATCTTGCTACCCATTCTCTCCTATTATTATAAGGGGTGTTTTGATATACTAAATATAAAACAAACAAACAATAAAACGTTACAGATCTCTAATTTATACTGCATTGCCACTTAAGCTCTTCAGTCCTAATCTTCTACTGGAAATACTGCCAATATTATGAACTATATAAAGTCAATGACACAATTCATTTTAAAAGTAAAAAAAAAACTACACATACTACAAAAAAATACTAACTAAATTAATCAAGGCTTCTTTAAAGGAGGGTGCATCTATATTCATATTTCCTGATATCTACATATCGGTTTATAATTCTTGAACTCCAAAGCTATTGTCTGATAGTTTTGTATGATAAATATTTATAGATACATTTTGTTTGCTGTGATCTATGTAAAACAAAAATATCTTGATAATAAATAACATAACACAACCCTACCCCTTAATTTAAAACTGCAGGGCTATGTGGTATATACAGTATACACGTAGGTTAATTCTTCTTTGTATTCCTTGGAGATACAATTGGAGAAGCGAGCAACTAAATTTTAAAAATGAAATGATGAGTTATATTATTATTATATTCCATAGTGATTACACCAAAATTAAAATGTATTCCTATAAATGATTTTAAAAACATTCCCTTGGCTCTAATGTTAATTAAAAGATCTGGAAGTGTATTGCTATCACAAAGTCATGGGACCTTACGTATACCCAAAACCTACCAATACGAGAAAATATAGTGTTCCACTTAGTATTATTGAGTCACAATGCAGGACATTGCTCTCTGATTAATACTACATGCGTTAGGTATGCCGCCAACATAATTTCTAATTAATGCTACAAACCATGTTATTATATACTGTCACATATATTAGTATAAACAATTACAATAGGTGGCGTGATGCATAACACATGAATTTTTAAAACACTAGGGATACAACTCATGTAAAAATTCTTCCTCATTTAAATGGAATTCACACAGTTTTTAAATCCTTTGGGGGTTGAAATGTGCAAAGCAATTTTCTTAAATGTTTTAATTTATCCACACCTTTTTATGCAGAGTCCTAAGTGACTGCATTGGGTGGAGGGAATTTCTGGAGTCACTTATAATAAGTATACACAATCCATTCATTATTTCTGAGCTCTGTCTGCTAAATGTCCTAATATTAAACTAATTTAAGCACCACTGCGGTTTGTCCCTATATGAACGATCAAGTGTGTCTACTGATTCTATAAATATAGCGCAGCCTGATTTGTTTTTTGCATCACACACGTATGATAATGAAGCCGTACAATATTATAATTAGTTAACTATCAAATGTGGATTGTAGCAAAAATAAATAATATAAAAAAAATTTTTTGTGACATGCACAGTTATGGATAACATATATATATTTATTTGCTTTACATATCCATAATCGATAACAAAATATTGCCTTAGTCCATGCTACTTAATCTGAAGGTAATTATGTTTCATGCCTTCCTTTCAATAGATGTTGATACAAAATGTAGCATCGTTACAGAAACCATTAGTGTCTTTTGGCTGTGTGTTAAGTGTTACAATACTAAACCCCAGTTTTGCATTCTATAGATGAAAATGGTGTCATCAATTAGTACTTCTTCAGGAGCATACAATTGGCCATAACAAGTAAACTGAGGTTGTGGAGCGAAGTTCCTAATTGTCAGTGAATGCCTAGGGACAAATGAGATGTAAATTTTACCCTGTTTTGTACAGGAATAAAAATAATCTAATACCCAATTGTCTTCTTGAAGGAAGAGACACAGGAGTATGGGGAATGAGTTCAGACGGCTGAAAGATTAACAAGCAGAGTTAAAAACTGGAAATTCACAAAAAAAAAGTTAGTGAGTGAATTTGCTCCAACCGGTAATTTGCAACACAGCAAAGTATTCCATTTACCAAGTTTGCTGAAAATTTCCACAATTGACAAAATGTATGTATAGCACGGAATATGCCTATGAGAAATGTAAAATGCTCAGTTTTCCTAATCATGTGATTATTAGTGAGAGTCATTATGTAGACTTGTGCATTCGGTTTCTCCTGAGTCATGATTTAACAGAATCATGGATATTCGGGAACTCGTCTAAAATTCCGAAGTCCAAGATAACGTATGGGTGAATCACGAAGTAAACAAAATGAGTAGTGATGTCCCGAACGGTTCGCCACGAACGGTTCGCGAACTGTTCACCACGAACGGTTCGCCACTGAGGGAAGGAGGGTCTGGGAGGGAGGGTCTGCTGCTGATTGGCTGGAATGTGTCTGCTGACTGTGAGGTACAGGGTCAAAGTTTACTCAATGATGAGTCCGCGGCAAACCGTTCGTGGCGAACCGTTTGAGAACCGTTCGGCGAACCGTTCGGGACATCACTAAAAATGAGGAATAGATGAGCTGTTTAATTTGTTTTGCGAATGAGACTTCTGTCAATGGCATTAAAAAAAAGACGATTGTTGGGAAAAATGCTGGTTAGGTCCAATAATTGGAAGCAAAAAGAGGCGCAGTAAAATACAAAAACATCTATATTTATATGTTATATGTTTAGTAAAATGTTTTATTGTATATAAATATATAATTTCCTATTTTTCCCTGTACATTGGTTGCTTTTTCTCACTTAATCTGTGAATCAAATGGTGTAAAAACACCTTTCAGTGTACTGCAAAAATATGTACATAACATTTCTATTTTGCAGTAAATTCATTGGCAAGTTTTGGCTTGTTTGAATTGTTATCCCTGAATCGTTTGCACGGATGAAATTTGTCTGAACTGAAGCTCCTTTTTTTTTTTTTCTTTTTTTTTTACTCAAATCAATACAACCAAACCATATATTTTTGCCATACACAAGTCTGTCATCAAGTGACCATCCAATTCCACCTACAAATCAATATGTTGTAACTAGGACTTGTTAGTCTAACCCTGCAAGGCAAGCTTATGTGTTCTACATGCGCTGGTGTACATATTAAATAGAACATTGGGCTCTATCTGAGAGAAGTCATGTAAATGGATGTAAATATACCATTATGGAATATAAATGTTATCAAATTCAAAAACAATCAACTAGACACAATTGTTGATGGCCCGTTAATTTTCCGACTGATTTTCAGAAAACCACTTTAAAATAAATGGAGTATACAATTAATCAGAATAATGCAGTGCCCTAGATTTCAGTCATTTTAATGTACATCTTAATACAGCAACATATTAATAATTAATCTCAACAGTTTGTCCTAGATCTATCACGTGGTGAGAGATTCACGCTAAACATCGCTCTATAAATGCTCCAAACTGCATATTGTAATAGGCTATAGTATCAAACTGAGTTAAAGAACTCCTCAAAATAAGTTTAAACATTTTGACATGGTTTGGTTTTCTTAATATTGTATAATGTGTCTGTTCCACTACAATATATAGAAGTTAGTAATGTAAAGAATAATGGCTAATTCCTTCAGCCTAATAATAAACCAGATTTTAATGCGTATCAGTCCTCCCAAATACTTGCCATAGGATTTTCTTGGTAATATCTACCCTAGTAGTGCCAATAAGGTAGACTCCCAGCTGTTGCTGGACTTTATCTTTAGTGATGACCTGACAGTCTAATACTGTTAAAGCATAATAGGTGCTGTAGTTCTGCATCAGTTAGGGATCTATCTTTTGGACACATCTGCTAAAAATTATCATTTGAGTCGGGGAGAAGATGATTATGATGGTTCTATCAGCATTTTAAGGAAGAATGAAAAAAAAAATTGATATATTTTGCTACATGCTTTATGGGAGTTGGGACCAAAGGTTGACCCACATCTATAAAACACAAACAACCCCCCCGCCCCCAATATTAAGATATTGTAATATATTTATGTTTTTTTTCTTTGCCCTGTACGTTCCAGTCCCTGTAAGAACATTCCAATAAGTATTTTGCTGTTTGTTAAAATGTGACTATTTTGTGTGTAAATGCCTTTTTAAATTAATAAAACATGTTAGGAATTTCCT